AGTGATTAAAAAATAAAAGAGACTACTAACTTGTGATTAGGGAAAAAAAAGGGGGAGCAGATCGCCTCTTATAATAAAGCGTTCGTTTTTTCGCTTTTTCTCACTTTTTTCTAGCTTCGCTCACGTTCGCTTCGCCTGGGGTCCTCCAGGCGAGATAAGCTCGCCTCGCCTCGCTTCTCGCCTAGGCGAGCTTTTCAAAACATTGTTCTATCCAAGATTCCAACGTAGAATAATTGCTTTCACATCACATAGGAATCGAAGGGAAAGGCCATATTGACCATGGAGAGAGAGGATGCGCCACTCTTTTTTAAGTATTCACTACACACACACCCTTATATACATGCGCATGTGCACGCGCACACACACATATGCATATATGTATGTATATATATATATAAAGAGAAAGGACGGGGAAAGAGAAAATAGGGTGGGCCTTGATGCACCGGTGTGATATATATATTATTTTATTATATAAAATATAATATAATAATAATAAAATGGACTTCATTTTGAATTCCAAAACTTAGAAAAGTACAACGGTTGAGATTGATTTAATCTCCGTTCATTTCCATCCAACAGTGTAAAATTCACCACAAAATTTTATCTAGCCCCAATTTTAACACCCCCCATACCCCCTCTCTTTCTCTCTCCCCCCAACTAAGCAACCCTTTCTCTTCTCTCTTTTCTCTTTGGTCCTCTCTCCTACCTCTTTTTCCTCAACCAGCTGCGATCCCCCACTAGTGACGACACCATGGAGCCACAGGCAGCAACCCACTACCAACAATGCCCAAATTCAGGCATCCGCCCCTCTCTCTCTCTCCCTCCCACTCACTTTGTCTTCATCTCTCTCTCCCCCACTCTACCTCCTCTCTAGCGCATACAATTCCCTCTCTCTACCTCCGACCATGACCAACCTCTGCCGCTATTACCCCATTCACCATTAACACACCTCCAAATCCCCCCTCCCCCCAAAAGCTTTGTCACCACCATCTACCCCACCCCACATCCCCAAGCCACCACTACTACCTTTTGCCACCAGCCCACCCCATTCATTATACCTTTGCCACCGCCACCCCATCATCGCTAACCATAGCCCCACCCCCTTTCTGCACATAACATTTTTGTTGAAATGTCTCAATGGTTTCTTCAATATTTGTTGAAGTCATGGTGGGTTTTGCTGCAATGTTTGATAGTTTGTAACGGAGAATTGAATTTGTATAAATTTTTTTTTTTGCTAAAACCTTTGGTCAATTTTGCTTCAATTTTTGTAGTCTTATTGCAAGGGTTTTAACTAAATTCAGCGTCTTCGATCTTAATATTCTTATGTGTTCATTGGGTGACTAATTCATTGTTGTTTTGTTATACCAAAATTAGACAGTGAATGATGAAGTCTTTCATATGAAAACCCATCTTTTAGGCCCCTAAGAGTTAGATATGCACACCATTACATAGTTGATGGGTGGTTCAAAAACAAAAACTTACTTGGTGGAGGGTAAATGAAGCTAGGAAAATGATAGTTGGATAGACAATTTATTTGAATAATAAAATGTTTAGGTCCCTACAAGTGGCAGTGCTTTTTATTGCTATTTTGGTCGAGAAATGCATTGGTTACACAAGGTGTAGTGGTCATGTTGAGGCTTTTGTTTCCTAATTTTTTGTTTATTCAATTATGTGTAGTTTTTTCTTTGTGGAATTATGAACTACCTGAGTATTATTTCGGTTCTGCAAAATGGGCAAGTATGCATAAGTGCGTTTTTATTCTTTGTTTAGTGAATGTGAACACAGTTCATACGTTGTTTTTAGGATTTCTTTGGTCTTATTAGAATTGTTAATTGTTTTGGTTGTGGAGTATGGAATGCTGTATTTGGGTTATTGAAGGAAAGCTATGGACAAATTAAAGAAAAAGTGTTCACTCGCCTCTTCGGTAGGTTCTATAAATTCAAGTAATTACTTGATTTTTAGTTTGGTTTCATTTGTATAATATTGGGTTCTAGATTTTTAGTTTAAAGGCTATATGTATTCATTTGCTCACCGATATCCATTAATGATGATATCCATGCCTGCACATGTACCATAGTTCTCCATTGTCCATTGGTAAGGGCATTGAGCACAATAGAGTGACTATTCGCTTGCATGTTTACATGTTTGTTTTCATATTAGTTTATTGAAAAAATTGACAAGTAATCATGATGGGTTGTCTAGAATAAGCTTCCCTCGCATATACATGCACATAAATAAATTCTAATTTTATCGTGTGGAAAATTCTTCTTTGAAACAACTTTTGGTTTCGGATAAAAAATCTACTGGGAAGTCAAGGTATTTGTTCTTCTTTCTCTTAACTACAGATATGATTTAATTTGTGTGATTCTAACCTTAATTTGGATGTTGCCTAGATTTTCTGTACAAAGCCAATCGAAACTCATTTCTTGAACGCGAGACGACAAGTGAATATTTGTTTCTATTTGATTCTTGTCCACTCTTTCTACTTAGTGTACTTGTTACTATTTTTAATACAATGCGTTGTTTCTTATCAAAAATCTGTAGTTGATTTTTTTTTGTGAGTTATCCAAAAAAAACTACCTCGCGTACAATTCATCTCCGACATGTTTCAACCAAATGGTTATTTTTTTGTTCTTACCTTTTTTAGCAGAGATTGAGCTGATTTGTTCTGGGTTTTGGAATTGAATTGTGTTAATATTGAGAATTTCATTATTGTGAAAGTGTGAATTTTCTAACTTCGAATAGTGGATTATTATTGTGGCTGGATTTGTTATATATTCTTAGATTTAATTATGAGTAGGCGAGAACTTTGGGCATCATTTTTTTCCTTTTGTATTTTTTTATATATGATTTTCATTTTGGACATTGTTCATATACGATATTTTGGGCATGTGACAGTAGTTGGTAATTGGTTGTATAGAAGTAGGACAATGGCGTGATGGTACACTCAGTAATGGGTTTGGACCATGTTTTCTTAAGAATAACCAAACCTATAACAATTACGAGCCTTTCATGGTATGCCTATAAATCTTACCTATATAGGTTGATGTTTTTATGCGGTCCTCTTTTTTGAGCAAATGTTGTCAAAATGTTTTGAAAAATATTGGTCTTAAACTTTTTACACAATGTGTTTAGTCACGGGTATTAGCTAGTAAACTTATATACATATACAAATATATATATATATATATATATATAGATATTAGACAATCAACTAATAAAAAATTTTATGCTTTGATTGTCTTCCACCTTAAAATGTTTAGGTCCCTTCAAGTGGTGGTGCTTTTTATTGCTATTTTGGTCAAGAAATAAGCATTGGTTACACGAGTAGTGGTCATGTTGAGGCTTTTGTTCCCTAATTTTTTAATTATTCAATTATGTGTAGTTTTTTCTCTAAGGAATTATGAACTACTTTAGCATTATTTCAGTTCAATAAAATGGGCTGGTATGCATAAGTGCAATCTTGAAATTCCTTGGACATTGACGTCCAAAAAGAAGCCAAAAAATAGATCTTTTCCCATAAACCTTCAAAATCTGCGCATTTATCCTCAAAAATCCTCACATTCCTTTCATTCCAAATTACCCATATAATAGAAAAGAAGGCACTATGCCAAATGATTTCCCATTTTCTATTCCCCCTAAAACCCACATCTTCCGGACCAAGCATAGATGTCATAGTCCTTGGAGCAGCCCACGCAATATCCATAAAGTAAAAAAGCTTGTTCCATAACGCATGTGCTAACGGACAATGCAAAAATAAATGATCCACATCCTCACTATCACCTGTACATATAACACCATTGCAGTTGGAGACAAAGATTTGGTCTCCTCTTTTTAAGTACCTCATTTGTGCTAATTTTTCCATGAGACGAACCTTTTCAAACAATTTCAAGAGAACTTCCACAAAAAATATAAGAGAGGAAAAACAAAGGAACTTAAGGCAGTCACAATTTAAAGTGTTCCAACCTCGAAGATGCTTTATGCGATACATAGTTACCTTGGTTGACTAAATCATCCAGCATAGAGGTTCCATCTAGATCAGACCTCCTAATTTCTGCAATAGGTCAAAGGCCAGAGTCACAAGTTGCATTAGGAAGGCCAGACAGAAAAGAAGAGAAAATTAATAACACATGCAGAAGAATAAAGATGGAAAATGTACCACGATAGGAGAAAAGATTATGATGTGAAATATATGATTTTATATCAGTTGTATCTTCAGCTCTCTTTCTTGTCCTCCTCTTCATGGCCTTTTTTCTGTGGCTTTGGAAAGCAAATGGCAATGACCTTGAACCAGACTCTACTAGTGTAAATTGATCCGGTGCTATATGTTTTTTCCTATCATGTGCTGCAAGCTCTCTGGAATACTTTGACGCTTGCAACTCAAATTCCTTTATTCTCAATTCTGTCCATTTGCATCGCCACATAAGAGGACGTATAAAGCTCCTCCAGTGACTAGTCAACTTCTTCTGCCTAAAAAAGGAACTACAGTAAGTTGAGATACACTCAATACAATATATAGAAATATCAAATATGCGAATTTAGAATGCAAATTGCCATTGGCTTTGCCAAATTGATGTTATCTCTTCTTAATCTGAATAATATTATTTCTTTTATATATATAAAAAAAGACAATGAAAACAACAAAACTAAAGAAAATTTCAAGAAATTTGAGGACTGATTGAGTAATGGTATGATATTTAATGCACAATACTAAAAAAACAATTAATCACAAACCTTGAGAAAATACATGCCATCAAATTTCATAAAATCGAAGAGTCTCCAACATTGACTTCAAAAGTTTATTTCATCACCAAAGTTTTGGTTTAGAATCAGGTTTTACCATGGGATATTGTAGTCCGCATATTTTCAATAATACATTTATTTGGGTTATGATGTTTTACTGATAAAAATGGCAATAATGCGTAGTTTACTTAGCTTAAAATAGTTTACTTAGTATCGTCCCATTATGAAATTTTCGCTTAGAATGTTCATTCAGACGATAGCCAAAACATAAAAATATCATACTCTGGGAGGACTAATGATGTTCGAAACCATTTAATGGCCAGCCTTCCCCGGTTACCTTACCTTACTTCCAGAAGACCAGCTTGTGCGTCAACTTTTGCTCCTTGGATGTGCGGCAAACAATACGCTAATATCAAATTTCCACTTGTTTAAGATCAATCACTTCAGTTGCAATATTTTGCAAGCTTCAACAATTCTTCCAAGTTGCTTACACTTCTCCAAATGTCCAAGAGCCAAAAGCATATTTTCTCCATGATTGTTGGAAAGTNAGAAAAGAAGAGAAAATTAATAACACATGCAGAAGAATAAAGATGGAAAATGTACCACGATAGGAGAAAAGATTATGATGTGAAATATATGATTTTATATCAGTTGTATCTTCAGCTCTCTTTCTTGTCCTCCTCTTCATGGCCTTTTTTCTGTGGCTTTGGAAAGCAAATGGCAATGACCTTGAACCAGACTCTACTAGTGTAAATTGATCCGGTGCTATATGTTTTTTCCTATCATGTGCTGCAAGCTCTCTGGAATACTTTGACGCTTGCAACTCAAATTCCTTTATTCTCAATTCTGTCCATTTGCATCGCCACATAAGAGGACGTATAAAGCTCCTCCAGTGACTAGTCAACTTCTTCTGCCTAAAAAAGGAACTACAGTAAGTTGAGATACACTCAATACAATATATAGAAATATCAAATATGCGAATTTAGAATGCAAATTGCCATTGGCTTTGCCAAATTGATGTTATCTCTTCTTAATCTGAATAATATTATTTCTTTTATATATATAAAAAAAGACAATGAAAACAACAAAACTAAAGAAAATTTCAAGAAATTTGAGGACTGATTGAGTAATGGTATGATATTTAATGCACAATACTAAAAAAACAATTAATCACAAACCTTGAGAAAATACATGCCATCAAATTTCATAAAATCGAAGAGTCTCCAACATTGACTTCAAAAGTTTATTTCATCACCAAAGTTTTGGTTTAGAATCAGGTTTTACCATGGGATATTGTAGTCCGCATATTTTCAATAATACATTTATTTGGGTTATGATGTTTTACTGATAAAAATGACAATAATGCGTAGTTTACTTAGCTTAAAATAGTTTACTTAGTATCGTCCCATTATGAAATTTTCGCTTAGAATGTTCATTCAGATGATAGCCAAAACATAAAAATATCATACTCTGGGAGGATTAATGATGTTCAAAACCATTTAATGACCAGCCTTCCCCGATTACCTTACCTTACTTCCAGAAGACCAGCTTGTGCGTCAACTTTTGCTCCTTGGATGTGCGGCAAACAATACGCTAATATCAAATTTCCACTTGTTTAAGATCAATCACTTCAGTTGCAATATTTTGCAAGCTTCAACAATTCTTCCAAGTTGCTTACACTTCTCCAAATGTCCAAGAGCCAAAAGCATATTTTCTCCATGATTGTTGGAAAGTAGTCAAACATGACTTAGTAAAGGTTTTTAGGAAATTTTACAAGCATGGTGAGGTGAATGTGAATAATAATGCAACTTCCATTTGCACGATATCAAAAAAACACAATTCATTGAATGTGATTTTAGACTGATCAATGTGGTCACTAATTTGTATAAGTTTTTAGCAAAGGTATTGCCCATAAGATTGAGGGTGATTTGGGGGATACAATATCTATAGTCAGTGCATTGGCTATGGGGAGGCAAATCTTAGTGCTTTAGTGGTAAATGAAGTGGTTGAGGAGTATAGAATGAAAGGTAAAGAAGCGGCTGTTTTTAAAATTGACTTTGACTAGGCATATGATCACGTGCGTTGGGGATTCTATGGATTTCATTTTCAAACTTAAAGGATTTGGGATTAGGTGGAGAAGATGGATTAGGAGATACTTATCATCAACAAACTTTCCAGTGTTTTTAAATGGAAAGCCATGAAGGAAATTTGATGCTTCCAAGGGTTTGAAGTAGGGGACCCACTCTCGGCATTTTTTTTTCTTTTACTTTGGTGGATAGGGAAATGGAGTATAGCTTAGTGGAAGATTGTCTAGCAGGATGGAATAGGGGTAAGTGTGCTCACCTTCAGTTTCCAGGTAATATAATTTTTTCCTTGTCAGAAATTTCAAATTTTAGTTGATATTGCTAGAATTTTTATTTTGGTATCGAGTTGAAGGTGAACATATTCAAGAGTTTAGTTGCACGAATTAGTGCTTCTACGAGTAAGATTGAAGGTTTAGCAAGGCGTTAAAGTTTGAAGACAGCGAGTGAACATCAATAGATTTGGGTATCCCTTTGGGGAGTAATCCTTTATCTTGAAACTGTTGAAATTCGATTGTGTAGAGAGAGGAAAAAAGAGTGTTCGACTTTAATCTTATCTCGTAACCTAAATAATCGAGAACGCTTGGAGTTTTCATCCCTTCTTCCTTTGCTTGACTCAATTTCTTTGGACTAATCAGTCAATGATAAAGGATTTTGATCTCTTGATTCTTCTAGAAATTTCTCCTATGGTATATACTCTCAAATTTTGATTAATGTTCCTAACTATTCCATCTTGGAACCCCACTTGACGATTTAGGGGGCCAAAGTGCCTATTAAGGTATAGGTATTTGCTTGGATGATTGCCCATGGTAAGCTGAATACTTGTGGCTTGATGCAAGAAAGAACGACTAATACTTATATTTCGACTCCTTGGCGTACATTCTGTAAGGAATGTTGTGCAAGTAACAATCAATTTTTNGGTATTTGCTTGGATGATTGCCCATGGTAAGCTGAATACTTGTGGCTTGATGCAAGAGAGAACGACTAATACTTATATTTCGACTCCTTGGCGTACATTCTGTAAGGAATGTTGTGCAAGTAACAATCAATTTTTCAAGTAACAATCAATTGTTCCTTCATTGTCCCATTGTTATTTTCTTGTGGCACAAGTATCGAGATATCTTGGAATTTTCATTTCTTCTTCCTTTCCTTGACTCGGTTTCTTCAAACTCGTCCGTTAGAGATAAAAGATTTGCTCTCTTGATTCTTTCGGAAATTTCTCCAATGGTATGTATTTTAAATGTTTGATTGATGTTCCTAAATTTTTTATCTTTAAACCTCAATTGATGACTCAGAAAGCTAGAGGTCCTATTAAGGCATAGGGGCTTACTTGGTTAACAACTCACAGTAAGTTGAATAATTGTAACTTGCTACAAAAGAGAAGACCCGATATTTATCTTTCCCTTCATTGGTGGGTATTGGGTAAGGAATGTGGTGAAAGCACCGATCACTAGTTCCTCCACTGTCCCATGCTATTTTCTTGTAGAATAAGCTTTTATGGGAGGCGGATTTAGTGTGGGTCACACCTCACAATTGAGTTTCTCTTTTTGTGGTTTGTTCATAGGGGTTTGGAAGTGAACAAAAAGCTTCCACATTATGGTGTTGTGCAATGTTAACCCTTGTTTAAGAGGTGTGAAGGAAGAAGAACTACATAATTTTTTAAGAAAACAAGGAGATTAGGAGTTGTTAGTGATAAAGAGAAGTTTTTGGCATCTCACTATGCTATGGTATCTAATGAGTTTTGAGTGTCTAGTGACACTCCTTTATCGTTCAACACAATTGGGAAGTCATTTGTAGTTGATAGTCTATTTCCTTTCCTTTAAAGTTTTTTGTTCTCTTTTCTGCAAACTCTTATGCACTATATATATAAATCTTCACCTTCTTGTGAAATCAAAGTTTTTTCTTTCCTATCAAAAAAATAAAAAAGGAGACATGCTTCAAAAAAGGAACATATTAGAAGAATTATCTGCTATCTTCCAATATGAGTCCTTTTGAATCTTTATTTTGAAGTTTGAAAGAAAAAATAGGCAATTTGTCTGGACTTTGTCGTGTTTGTGAACATATGGCACATATGAGAAGATAGGGAGTTGGGGAGGGTACAGTTGTAGTGTCTTTGGGTGTAGTTAAGAAACACTAAGATCCATGGTCTCAATATGGTTCTGGACTCTCTCTCAAAAAATTTTTCAAAAATTGGGGGAATGGTATCAAAAGAATTTGAATCTTTCTTTTGAAGTTCTAAAGGGAAAAAAAGGCAATTTGTATGGACTTTGCGTGTTTGTGAACACATGGCACATAAAGAAACACAAAGATTCATGGTCTCAATTTGGATGTGGACTATCTTTCAGAAATGTTTTCGAAGACTAGGGGAATGTTATCAAAAGAAGTGTATTATCTTCCAATATGAGCCCTTTTGAATCTTTATTAGGAGGTTCTAAAGAAAAATAGACAATTTGTATGGACCTTGTCGTGTTTTGAACATATGGCACAAATGAGGAGATAAGGAAGATGGAGAGGGTACAATCTTAGTGTTTTTGGGGGTAGTTAAGAAACACTATGATCCACCATCTCAATTTGGATGTGGATTNGGACCTTGTCGTGTTTTGAACATATGGCACAAATGAGGAGATAAGGAAGATGGAGAGAGTACAATCTTAGTGTTTTTGGGGGTAGTTAAGAAACACTATGATCCACCATCTCAATTTGGATGTGGATAGTGACTCTTTCAAAAATGTTTTCAAAGTTTGGGGGAATGCTATCATGTTCCATGCTCATCAATCTACTACTTATAGACATGGATACCAGCCTCAAGCGAATCAGTTAAGAATTATAGTGGCAGTCATGCTTTAGGAGTTCCACAATAAATTAAAACCACGAAAGTATAGATATCAAGAAAGGAATATAATATTTGTCTTTCAAGCATTGCATAGAAGTTGGTAGGACAGAAGGAGATATTCTAATTGAGATAGCACAACACTCTAGAAAAGATAGCTCCATTGTGAAGTCAAAAGAGGAAGAGTGTCATCTATAAAGCATAGATACTTTGTTATGGTAAATATCTGGATATTTTGCTGACCAATACAAATAATGCATATGCCCTATATATGAAAGTGCATATACAGATCAATATGTATCCAAGGTTGTCAAAACGTGTATCGAAACATGTATTGTTTTTCAAAAATAATGTATTTACCGTAACGTATCGTGTATTGTAAGATATGCTTAATTTAAAAAATTGTGTACACACACCCCTTATAAATATGCAGTGTCTGAAGTAATATAAATACTATTTCAACTCACTCATCAGTTTGTGTGTGTGTGTGTCCAATAGAAATCAAAAGAGAGACAATTGTCTGTCTTCACAACAGAGATCAAAAATATAGTTATGTTTTTATCTATTTTTATTTGTTTAAATAAGAAGGAAAAAAATAAGATGCTAGAGAAACAAAAGACAATCTCAGAAAAAGAAGATGATCAAGAGCTGCTTTTGTCTGAGATCAAACCAAAAAAGAAAATATACCATATAGAAAAACGTTATTTCCCAGTTTATGGCAACAAAAAAAACCTTGTGAAAAAGATGTTGTTTTGATATTACGCGAATTGTTTTTCATTGTATTGAAACATATTATAAGACACGTATCGTTTGGGTACTGTATCAAAATATATCATAAAATACATATCGCGTATCGTAAGATACTAACAACTATGAATGTATAACATTTAATGTCAACCTTTGTCTTTTCCTCTTGAATTCACATATTATAGAAACAATACATAAAGGAAAATCCATAAAAGTTTGAAGAAACATGGGTATTGCTTAAGTATTAATATCACGTCAAAAGAGTATAAAATAAGATAATTACAACATCTTTGTTGGCAAAAAGAATTTTTAAGCAAACCAAATAGTTAAATCTTGGTTTTAATTTCTTTAGTTAGTAATGTTCACTTTATGAATATACAATAATGAGATGATCAATATGTTCTTGAAAGTAAAAATTACTAAATTTTCTATATTATGGTGAGTGAACTTCTTCGGAATTACAATCATCGAGACATTGGAAAGTGGTAAAAATATAAAATATATCTTATAGACATTTTTGGCATATCCATATCCTATTATTTTAGGTTTTGTCATATCGTACCGTATTCCATATCTATATTCATGCTTCTTACAATGTTACTAATGTTTTACCCTCTTGGCTTTTTTTTTGGAGGTTTTGTGACTCAAGAAGACTTCTATGAGATGCATTGTGGCTTCACATTAGAATCTGGTCTAGGCAGACAGGCCTATAATTCTGCTGACTCCTACAAGTCCATTGGACAAAAATAACATGTTTCAATTGCCATCGACTCAAATAAAGTATGTATGCCTTTAAAACTACAATCAGCTAGAATATACAATTCTGTAAGATGCTCTGACAGAAACAGCCACCATTCCTAAATGTTACAATTTGCTTAATTCTTAAATGTTAGGAATTTTTGCTGTGAACGAAAAACAACACACTGGAGATGTATGGTAGAAAAAAAAAAGTACATACCTCAATGGAAAGACACTGCTAAATCCATCAAATGCAGATGCCAAACTGTTCTCATCATAGAATTGTGACTCGGCTTCAGCATCACTCAACTCAGAACAGTTCTCATTCCTAGATGTAGTGTCTGCAAAGGAGCTGGAATATTCTGTTGAATCAGGATCCTTTGTTGCAGCTAGCCTGATGTCACTGGTCCTTTTAAATTCAATAACATCAACTGGCAGATCCTCCACTCCCTCTGGAGCCTCAGTTTGTCCATCCAACAGATCTTCCATTTGAAAGATGGAGTCCTAAGAATTAACATGCACCTCAAACCCTTCCTGTCGGAATTTGCCAATGTACTCCTATTCTCCTTACCAATGACAATTTTTGAGCTGAAAGTTAGTTACCACGCATCCAGAGCAACCTCCACTAACAGTCAGGCAGAAGCCATGGACACAAAATTTCCTAAATTCAGCTCACTCTCTTGAGACATCACACTTGAAACAACTCCTCCACAATTAACCTGAATCTATATCCAGCCAGCTCATATTTGTGAATCAATGCAATTAGTCAATATCATTTAGTCAAGAAATAACATCCAAGTTTATTCAACATTAGAAGAATCTGTGAGTACCTGGGCTGCTCAGCATGACAAGGGCAAGGTAGGGGGTTACAACTTATTAAGGGATTGGTCTGGAGATATATGAACCTACACATAGGATGAGATGAAAAATTCAATAATTGCATATGGAAGCTTTATTAAAATACTAATTTTTTTGGCAATTTGAGGAAAAAATACATAATGAATATCTTATGGCAGTAAAAACTTCTTTAAGAATCACAAAGTTGTAGGATCTCCTATTCTTCAAATATCCGTTAGCTTATCGATGTAACTCCTTTAGGGGGATAAAAAACAGTCCAAGAAGTATGCACCAATGCGATGATAAAATCAAAAAAATAGAATCTTGTTTAGTCAATTTGTCAAGTTCAAATAACTAAGAATGAGGAAGCTGGGTAAAAAACCTCAACTATCACTGTTATTGCAGCAAAAGTGTAAGATAATGCATGATCAAATCAGATTTCCTCCAATAGCTAAAGTTCCATTTAGATATCTCATATCTACAACTATGTAGATAGAATTCTATTTCAATATCTCCAATTATTCGCAACCATGCAAGTCTAAACTTCTGTGGCACTCGATATGCATGCAAATTATAGGCACGAAACAAGGTTTTTAAAATCGGAATCCTACCTTAGATCGATGGAGAGGCTAAAAAAAAAAAAATTAAACACAGTAAACAAGAATATATACAAAATGAGACAGAAATTTATGTAATAATCCAAAATTCTTAAAAACAAAAATTAAACACAGTAAACAAGAATATATACAAGCCCGCAGACTAGCATTGCGATGCATTAGATACCCAGTACAGAAAAAATAAATATTACACGATCAAAGCCATAAATACAACGACAAGGATTCTATTTTTCTTTTTATTTTTATTTCTTTTTTTTTTTGGTAGTCCTCCATCACACACACCACAGAGAGATGACAAAGCAAACACAGAAAATTCACAAGTATGCATGTCAACCAGTACACACCCTGATACTCCGCAACTTACGCTAGACGAAATGAAGATCAAGACTAGAACAAATACACAATTATAAAAAAAAAGGAAAAATTTCTACCAAAATTACGACAGAGAACACGAACCAGAATTGAGTATTGTTACAGTGAGCTGAACAAAGAACAGCTTAAAATTTTAAGCCATCTAGAGAAGAAGCACAGTTCAAGATGAAAAAAAAATCCCGGAATGCATGCAGAGACAGAGAGAGAGAGAGAGTACCAGTAAGTGGAATGCGAGGAGGCACGGCGGCTACAACAAACAGGGTTGTGTGCGTATCAGCGACGAAGTTAACGTTATAACCTAAATTATACAACCTTTTTTTCTTACGTACGCTTCCCGCTTCCAAATGCGGTACTAGGAGAGCTGTCAATTTCCAATTCTATCCTTTTTCCGCCTGTACTTGGGTCATAATTTTGGGGCAAAAAGTTCCTGAAATATTTTCCCAACCCAAATTTAGACGATGTCTAATTTCAATTCATGGGTTAAATTTAAATCATTAAAAGATAGATTAGACTTACCTCATTACTCAATCCAATTTAAAGTTTAAGTTTAAGAGTTCAGGAAGGGTCAACGCATGTGGAGGAGCAATCATCGGAGTAGTCATTAATCTAAGATATAGTATTTATCCCTAATGCTCTGTTTGATACGATGAAAAAATTAGAGGATGAAAAGTTGGAAGGATGAAAAGTTAGAGTGATAAATAAAACATCTTGTTTGATAAGGAATGATGAAAAAATTGATGGATTAACTTTACTTTCAACTCACCAAAATCAATCCCTCCAAAATCAGAAGGAAAATTAATTATTTGTGTTGAGATGTATCTTATTTGTCTATATGTCTTATGTATATATTAATTTTATATAAAAATACAATGGTAAAATAAGTATATATATTTTTAAAAAAAAATTAAAAAAAATAAAAATTTTAAATTAAAAAAAATATATTTTTTCTATCTTAACTAAGGGTGAAAATTTTCGACTCAACATAATGACACGACTCGAACTCAATACGAAAATAAACAAGTTAACTCGCAATTCGAAATGACACAATTAGTTAAATGAGTTAAGTTAGATTTGATTAATATTCGACACAAACCCATAATGACTCAACATGAATCTGATACAATACGACTCGACTCGATTGTCACCCCTAATCTTAGCCAGCACAAAAAAAAATATAGTCATTTTTATTTTTCATCCATCCAACAAAACACAAAGGATGAAAAGTGTATTCTTCCTACTTTTCATCCTCCTTATCAAACGGAGCATAATTGTAGCTATCCTCCCAGATAAACTAGTAATTTGAACCTCATGTCACCGTCTCAGTTATGACTTTGTGCCTATAAATTATAAACCCCTCATACATAGGGGAAGAGGACACACACCTGACCTTGATTATACTTTTGCTCTATCTCTCCCTCTCTCTTCTACCTTGCATTCTCTCATTAAATATAGTTCTCTGACCACCATTATCGCCTTCAATGGTTAGGTCCCCCAGACCAAACCACCCAATATTTGTCTTTTATTATTGATTGTTTCATTAATTGCTTCACAACACACAATCGACTGATTGATTTTGCATAAATTTACTTTTGAGCATCATCAATATTCATACCCTAGTGTTCAAAAGTCCAAAAGAGGATAAATCCTAAAGACATCACTACAATTACTGATAATTGTAGTCATGCAACTATAATTTCTGAAATGACACGATGCTCTCTTGCAGTTTAAGTTTGTATTTTACAACATACACCTCCATTATTCAACATTGCCTATCTTCAAAATACATATTCTACCCTTATAAAACAAAACAAAAACTTAAAAAATCAACATTTTTGGGAGAAAAATCATAATCTTCAATCGTGGACTAAGCCCTGCCTTTTTAAACTATGACGCCCCTAAAATCGAGGGTCCTTTAACAACCGTTGACCACCCGTCAACCCGTGAAAATACTCGTGATTACCGCATCACCCGACATCACGTCAATCACATCTCATTAACGGGGGTTATAATCCACACGTGTAACTCGTGTACATTTTCTCATTTAATTCAACTGTGGTCCAATGCACCACATTTTATACTCCATTGTAGTCCATTCATATCCTTGGAACCAAATAACCCATAGTCCAAAAGCTTGGCAAAGTAATTTTAAATTTTTAAAATTTTGGAAAGAGTACCGGTACGCTTTGCCCACTAGACCACATCGTATTGGTACTCCGTACCGGTACTAACTGTCCACTGGACTTAGTTGCGTAGCGGTACACTTTGCCGACTTTTGCCCATTTTACCTGTTTTTCATTTCCAACTCATCCATAAGTATATTATTTTCATCCAACACATGTATAATGAAGGTTTTCATCTAATACAAGGTCCATATACATTCTATTTCATTCATTTCCATAAATTTACATATCAAAACTAGTTTTCATAAAAATTTTACAAAAACTCAAAATGAAGCCACATTTCGGCTTTCTTCATCCTCAAGGTCCCATGCGAAGGCCTTTCTCCGATGTATATCCCGCACTTGAAATATTTTCCTATATAGGGTGAGCCACGCCAAGTAGATTATTCCCTACCAAGGCTATTCCCCAACCTAAGTGCATATGAATGTTCATGCAACACTTTACAACCAACAACATCCCAACTAATAATATATTATTCAATGTTGAAATCTTAGCAATGTCATGCCATGAAATGAGATGAGGCTCACTCACTCAACTCAACCCGAGCCCTCTCTGGCTCCTTTTTCCCCCATGTAATGTCATGGGTATAAAACTGGTTTTTCGAGCCTCGTCATTGGCGCTACACACTCAATGACTATTTAAAAATCTCTGGGTCTTTCTTGGGGTGGGTATTTATGGACTTCCACCAATAGTTCTGCGTACACCGACACACTTTATGGGCTCTTATACTAATGGAGTGAGTATCCGATCACCGGGTCTCTCACCCGAAGGATAGTCTAACCCTTCTTGCTAACCCCAACCCGATTCTTTATCCATACTCCCGTGCGACTTAGTCGAATCTTCAATCCCACTTTTTCGAGCCCACCATCATCAACCTATTTGGTGTTTGATATCAACCATGCACACACACCCATCCTAATGGCTATGGATGCAATTCATCCATGCAAATGCAATGTAATGCACCATTGCTTAATCAATATCGTGCCCATATGCAATGAATGTCACATGAGCAAGTTTAACCATATATATTTACACGTTCCATGGCCAATTATATTATATGCATATAATTACCAAACTTTATCACAATGCTAATATATTAATGCACATATATCAACATTTCCTTTCCAACAACAATTCACAAGCATGTTATCACACAACATATGCTGATAACACACTTAATTCCCAAGGCACAAAATAATTACATAACATGCCCACATAATATCAATTTTCATGAATCACATAGTCAAATTCACATATCCATTTCAAGATAGAATTTACTCTATCCAATTTCAATTCCCATTTCATTAAATCCACCATAATAGGCAAGTGATATAGCATCCTATCAGCATACACATTTCATATAAGCATTTTAGGTTGTAAATAAACTTAAGTAGGAGGGAACCCTACCTCTTGGAGCGTGAAATCAATGTTAGAACCTCCAAGAATATTCCCCAAGTCCAAACCCTTGATTTTCTAAAATCTCGTCCTTGGAATCTTTGGTGAAACCCGTCATTTTTGGTGTGCTCGCATAACCCTCGACGCGTAGAACAATCTTTGTTCTTGGCTTGA